TTCTGTAAGCAACAGCTATGGCCTCTGTTTCATTACATGTTGCCTCTGTCGCCTGACCTCGGCGGTCGGTTTAACCGACCGCTGTGGCAGGCTTATGTTTCTGTGAATAAGATCTTTGCTGATAGGATCATGGAAGTGATCAATCCTGAGGATGATTTTGTTTGGATTCATGATTATCATCTCATGGTGTTGCCTACTTTTCTTAGGAAGAGATTCAATAGAGTCAAGCTTGGATTCTTTCTGCATAGTCCGTTCCCGTCGTCTGAGATATATCGAACACTACCGATTCGGGAGGAGCTCTTACGAGCGCTCCTGAATTCGGATTTGATAGGGTTTCATACATTTGATTATGCTAGGCATTTTCTTTCTTGTTGTAGTAGGATGCTTGGTCTAAGGTACGAGTCGAAACGGGGTTATATTGGGATAGAGTATTATGGTCGAACCATTAGTATTAAGATCCTTCCTGTTGGGATTCATATGGGTCAACTTCAATCTGTTTTGAGCCTTCAGAAGACAGAGGAGAAGGTTGCAGAGCTTATCGAACAGTTTCGTGATCGAGATAGGATAATGTTGCTCGGTGTTGACGATATGGACATATTTAAGGGTATTAGTTTGAAGCTTTTGGCTATGGAGCAGTTGTTGATCACACACCCTGAATGGCAGGGGAAAGTAGTATTGGTGCAGATTGCCAATCCTGCGAGAGGCCGAGGGAAAGATGTGAAAGAAGTTCAGGATGAGACGAAGGCAGCTGTTAAGCGGATTAACGACACGTTTGGGAAACCGGGGTACGAGCCAGTTATGTTGATTGAGGAGCCACTGAAATTCTATGAGAGAGTTGCATATTATACCGTTGCCGAATGTTGTTTGGTCACTGCAGTTCGGGACGGTATGAATCTCATTCCATATGAGTATATTGTCAGCCGCCAAGGGAACGATAAGTTAGATAAGCTCTTGGGGTGTGAATCATCAGCTCTGAAGAAGAGTATGTTGGTTATATCTGAATTCATTGGGTGCTCTCCGTCCTTAAGCGGAGCAATTCGAGTTAATCCGTGGAATATTGATGCTGTAGCTGATGCAATGGAATGTGCATTAGAGATGGAAGACGCCGAAAAGCAGCTCCGCCATGAGAAGCATTTTAGATATGTGAGCACGCACGATGTTGGGTATTGGGCTCGAAGTTTCCTACTAGATTTGGAGAGGGCTTGTCGGGATCATGTGAGGCAGAGATGTTGGGGTATTGGGTTCGGTTTAAGTTTTAGAGTTGTGGCTCTTGATCCGAACTTCAGGAAGCTGGCATTGGAACACATATTTTCGACTTATAAGAGGACGAAATCTCGAGCTATTCTTTTGGACTATGATGGTACATTAATGCCTCAAGCTTCGATTGATAAGAGTCCTACTTCAAAATGCCTCGAAACGCTTAATACCTTGTGTCGAGATAAGAACAATATGGTATTCATTGTGAGTGCAAAAAGCCGAAAGAAACTTGCCGAATGGTTCGGCCCTTGTGAAAATCTCGGCATTGCTGCCGAGCACGGATACTTTATTAGGTGAATTATCACATGATGAATACGCTTCGTCTATACTGTTTTGTTGATTGTCTTATTGTATATGGCAAAATTAAGGGAATTGTTTTCTTCTTTTAGGATGAAGCAGGATGAGGAATGGGAAACCAGTTTACCAGTTGCAGATTGCTATTGGAAGCAGATCGTGCAGCCCGTTATGAAACTCTACACCGAAACAACCGATGGTTCGACAATCGAAGATCGAGAAACTGCGCTTGGATGGTGTTACGAAGATGCAGATCCAGATTTTGGTTCGTGTCAAGCTAAGGAGCTCTTCGATCATCTCGAAAGTGTCCTAGCCAATGAACCAGTTACAGTCAAGAGTGGTCAAAATATTGTGGAAGTTAAACCACAGGTTCAACCTCATTGGCCCTCATCTTTAAAAATTTAAATTGTTTCTGAGCTTCATGGTCTGTTTGATTACTGAATATGACTTTAAGGCTACAACTAAGGATTGATTGGCTTTGTTCATCATCCCCCCACTTCTATGAACTTGGAATCCTTTCCTCTCGAAGCATCTGATATTTGACTCGGGTAATACGGTTCGAATGAAAATGTAATAGCCCTAGCCCACCGCTAGCTGATATTGTCCTCTTTGGGTTTTTCCCTTTCGGGTTTCCCCTCAAGGTTTTCATAACGTGTCACCTTAGGAAGGTTCCCACACCCCTTTATAAAAAATGCTTCATTCTCCTCTCCAACCGACGTGGGATCTCACAATCCACCTCCCTTTGGGACCCGAGGACGCTGACACTCGTTCCCTTCTCCAATCCATGTGGGACCCCCCTTCAGGGCTCAGCGTCCTTGTTGGCACACCGCATCGTATCCACCCCCTTCGGAGCTTAGCCTTTTCACTGGCACATCGCCTGGTGTTCGACTGTTTCTTTTTTTGTGCAGATCCTGAAAAAAGCAATGTGATGATGATTAAGGCATCCATATACTATTATATCATCTGGCATTTCCTTTTTCTTATCAACCTTAACGATGTGGGTGAATCTGATGTTCGGTTTTATAATTGCAGGGTGTTAGCAAGGGTCTTGTAGCTAAACGACTTCTCTCCGCAATGCAAGAGAAGGGGACCCCTGCAGATTTTGTTCTATGCATCGGTGATGACAGATCAGACGAAGACATGTTCAAGGTGATTTCGAGTTCCATGGAAGGCCCATTGATCTTGCCTCGAGCTGAAATTTTTGCATGTACAGTGGGGAGAAAACCGAGCAAAGCCAAGTATTACCTCGACGATCCATCAGAAATTGCAAGGTTGATGCACGGTTTGGCTACGGTGTCGAGGCAAAACGGCACGCTTTATCCATCACAAGGTGCATGAGCCTCAACTTTTGCATTTGTCAATGTCATTCAATTTTAATCTTATTTCCACATCACAGTGTACATATTGCTGCGGTTTCACGATGGGAAGAAAGTAAAAAGGGGAAAAACTGAGACAAATTTTTGTTTTATGGTTCATTTAGTAAAAGATGTAAATATATTTGGATGTGATATAATGACTGGATTTGCTTCAATTCCAGGTTCATTTTTTTCTTTTGGATTGTGTATTATATCAGTTTATAAACCTTTGCATAATATTTAATGTGAATTTGCTTTGAGCTATGACCAGCCTCCTGGCCATGGTTCATCATCCTTGTTTGAGGTCGATCTCGTGGGGGGGGGGGGGGGGGGGG